ATCTATCTATCTATCTATCTATCTATCTATCTATCTATCTATCTATCTATCTTCATCCATCCATCCATCCATCCATCATCTATCATATGAGCCATGGTGGCGCAGTGGTTAGAGTGCAGTACTGCAGGCTGCTTCTGCTGCCTGCTGCCTGCCTGCCATTTGGCAGTTCGAATCTCACCAGGCTCCAGGTTGACTCAGCCTTCCGTTCCTTCCGAGGTGGGTCAATTGAGGAGCCCACATTGTTGGGGGCAAGAGGCTGACTCCGTAAACCGCTTTGAGAAGGCTGTGAAAGCCCTGTGAAGCGGTATATAAGTCTTAAGTGCTGTTGCGATCTTCATTCCGTGGTTGTTTTTGCTTTCAGATGGAATGGAAGTGGATGCGGCCCCAGTGGTTACGGGACAATTTGAAGATGCCGATGTTGAGCATTAAAGGAAGGTAGGAACGATGGCCAGGTTGGCACTCCTAATTATCTCTCTTCAATGCGTTGACCCTCTGGCTTCATTTCCTTGCTTTAGCTCAGACCAATAATCCAGTTTGTTAAAAACCCGAACCCTCTGCTCTGCGGTTTGTTAAGTGAATCCTTTGGTTGTTAAGTGAATCCAGCTTCCCCTCCATTGATTTTGTTCGTCAGAAGTTTGCAAAATGGTAATCCCATTCGCTCCGGGACACTGCTCCGTCCTACGAACCAAGTGCTCGAAATTTGTTCGCCTCATTGTGAAGGATCCGTGATGGTCATAAGTATCAGTCACTTTGTAAGCCATTTTTTTTCAGCACCGTTGCAACCTGGAACGGTCAATAAGCAAATGACAAGCCCTCCACTTATGTCCACATGATGATGTTAAATGAGACATTTGTTAAGGGAGTTTTGCCCCCTTTTACAACTTTTGTGGCCTCCGTTGTTAAGTGATTCGCCACCGTCGATAATTTAACAACACGGTTGTAAAGTGACTCTGGCTGTTGACTTTGCTTGTCAGGAGGTCACAAAAGGGGATCATGTGACCCTGGGACCCTGCAATCATCCTAAATATGAGTTAGTTGCCAAGCGTCCGAAATTTGATCACATGACCACAGGGATACTGCAGTGGTCGTAAGTGTGAAAAAGAGTCATAAGTCCCTTTTTTCGATGCCGTTGTAACTTCAAACGATCACTAAATGAACTGTTCTAAGTTGAGGAATACCTGTATGCCAAAGGCCCTTGGAAAACCTGTTGCCTTCCCACGGGTGGTACCTATTCATCTACTCACATTTACAGCTTTTCTAAACTGGTAGGTTTTTACATTGTGAGCTTTTCAAAGCTTACTTGAAAAGAAAACTAATGTGAAACTCTGTCAGGAGATTCCTTCTTTCTTTCTGTCTTTCTTTCTCTTTCTTTTTCTCTTTCTTCCTCCCTTCCTCTTTCCTTCCTTTCTTTTCTTATTCTTTCTTTCCCTCCCTCCCTTTTTCTTTCTTTCTTTTTTACTTTTCCCCTTTCTTTTTCTTTCATTCATTTATTTTCTTTCTTTCTTTCATCCTCCCTCCGTTCCTCTTTCCCTTCCTTTCTTTTCTTTCTTTTTCTTTCTTTCCCTCCCTCCCTTTTTCTTTCTTTCTCCTTTCTTTCTCCTTTCTTTTTCTTTCATTCATTTATTTTTTTTCTTTCATCCGCCCTCCCTCCCTCTTTCCCTTCCTTTCTTTTCTTTCTTTTTCTTTCTTTTCCTCCCTCCCTTTTTCTTTCTTTCTCCTTTCTTTCTCCTTTCTTTTTCTTTCATTCATTTATTTTTTTCTTTCTTTCATCCTCCCTCCCTTCCTCTTTCCCTTCCTTTCTTTTCTTATTCTTTCTTTCCCTCCCTCCTTTTTTCTTTTTCTTTCTTTTTTACTTTTCCCCTTTCTTTTTCTTTCATTCATTTATTTTTTCTCTTTTTCTTTCATCCTCCCTCCCTTCCTCTTTCCCTTCCTTTCTTTTCGTTCTTTCTTTTTCTTTCTTTTCCTCCCTCCCTTTTTCTTTCTTTCTCCTTTCTTTTTCTTTCATTCATTTATTTTTTCTCTTTCTTTCATCCTCCCTCCCTTCCTCTTTCCCTTCCTTTCTTTTCGTTCTTTCCTTCCTTCCCTCCCTTTTTCTTTTTTCTTTCTTACTTTTTCCCTTTCTTTTTCTCTTTCATTCATTCATTTATTTTTTCTCTTTCTCTTCCTTTATTTCTTTCCCCTTTCTTTTTCTTCTTTCTTTCCTTCCTTCCCTCCCTTTTTCTTTTTTCTTTCTTACTTTTTCCCTTTCTTTTTCTCTTTCATTCATTCATTTATTCT